GAGCCCTACGCACATACCTAGATCGCACTCAGAGTTTCAGACGTTCTGAACAGCTCTTTATCTGCTTTGGAGGACAGCAGAAGGGGAATGCTGTCTTCAGACAAAGGATCTCCCACTGGATTGTGAATGCGATCCTAACAGCCTATCAGGCCAGAGGCCTACCTTGCCCACTGGGAGTGAGGGCTCACTCTATCAGGGGAATGGCTGCATCAGCAGCCCTGGCGAATGGGGCCTCTCTAGTAGATATCTGTAGAGCTGCAGGTTGGGCTACACCTAATACATTTGCTAGATTTTATAATCTATGAATGGAACCAGTTTCTTCTAGAGTTCTGAACATCAGTTCTTTGACTCAGGAGACTGGCAGGGTGTAGAGCTTGCTACCAGCGCTACTCCTCCCAGGGTAATTATGCGCTTATTCAGTCCAGCTCTGGTTCCTTTCATGAATTCTGGACTACCCTTCCATCACATAAGCACTTTTTCTTAGCGAAGTTCGACGGAGGAACAGAACTGATGAACTGATTACGAGGTAGGTTCCCTCGAGTGAACTCTTGTATTGGGTTAGTGCTCCACATGTAGTGGCTCTCTCCACTGTTCCACTGTATTGCCCCTGAGGCTCAGTGTTCCCCTAGACAGACATTCTGTCGACAGGTTCTGGGTCTTGGTAGATCTCCCCTTACGCGTAGCCCACCCCAGTACCTTCCCTATTTGGTATTTCCTCTGTAAGTCCATAGGTGGATCTTCACATGTTACCTCCCCATCGGGTAGGATGTGATCTCTGTAGTGCCTTTTTTCCCTAGGGGGAATAGTCACTGTCCCAACGTTACTACCAAGACTTTTCAGCTGTTATATTATGGTGAGTATTACTATGGGAAAAGGCTCTGGCTGAGGGGCCCTCTGCCTCTATGGCGGCTCTCCCGGATGTTGGATAGTGAGGGCTTAAGTCTTGGGCATTGGAAGGTTACGAAGAGGAAAGGTAGCTTGTCAAAATCTGTGCCCCCGTGGACTCGTGACGCAGTTGTGGTATTTAGTATAGGGACCCCTAGTGTCATACACTTGTCACAATGTCGGAGTGAACGACAGAAAGGGAACGTCTCGGTTACGTATGGTAACCTTTGTTCCCTGATGGAGGGAACGGAGAAGTTGTGTCCTTCATGCCACAACTCCGAACTGCCTCTGAGTGGGTTGAGACGCTTCTCGACTCCTCAGAACAGAACGAGTGAGCAGATGCCACACTGCCCTATTTATACCCGGATGTCCGGGGCATGGCCAGCTATGCAAATTCTACACACCCAATTTCATTGTCCTTTTCTCAAAGATGTCAGAGGTGTTTGGGCTCTCAAGAGCGACCCCTAGTTCCATACACTCGACACAATGTCTCCGTTCCCTCCTTCAGGGAACGAGGGTTACCATACGTAACCAAGACGTTTTTAAGGATTTTAAGAAATTTAAGGAAGTAGATTTAAAATGGAATGAAACAGTGATGCACCAAAATTAAAATTCTCGGTGCCCACTGCCTGAAAGTTGAACCTTTGATTAGATTAGATTTAACTTTATTGTCATTGTGCAGAGTACAAGTACAGAGCCAATGAAATGCAGAATTGTTTTTGTTTGGATTACTGATTTGAATTATGATGCATATTTCTGATTACACCTAAATAACATATAAGCTCCGACAATGTTTTGTCAAGTGTGTTATGAATATGACAGTGTTGATCATTGTAATACTTATTTTTGGCACATGCTTACACTACCGTTCAAGTGTTTGGGATCAGTAAGTGAAATTTTTTTTTTTTTTTAAAGACATCTCTTGTGCTCATAAAGGCCGCATTTTTAAAATCAAAAATACAGTAAAACAGTAATATTGTGAAATATTATTACCATTTAAAATATTTTTTTTCTATTTTAATATACATTATACTTTATTATTATTATTTTTTTAATCTTACTGATCCAAAACTTTTGTTTTAAACAGTAGTATATATAGAGATTATAATTACATAACAGTTTATGTCATACAAACACAATCTTTACAGAGCAAATGTGTTTTATTGTGTATAATATAAAATGGTGTTTTATTGTGTTTTCAGCCAAAAATCTTTGAAGGATGAAATTTCACTGCAATTAATTCCTACAAATGCATTTATATAACTGCTTTAAGTGTAGTTCTAAGTTTTTTTTGTTTTTTTCATTTATGACTGACCTATAAACATGTTGGCATAAATGTATGCACATAAACATGCATGTCATTAAGCTTCATCAATTTAACTGTAAGTGAATAAACACTTAATTTCCCAGAATGCTGTAATTTACACTAAAGTCTTCAAAGTGGAGCCAAACAACATGAAGCAGGTTTGCAAGATGGAGACATTAAAGCTGAAGCATGTAATTTCAGCTTTGTAACAGAAATAACTAAAAATAATGAAACGTTTCCTGAACACTCCCCTAATCTGATACTGGTCAAACAGCATCACGGTGTTTATGTTCTAAAAGGAATCAACCTACAAAGGGCTTAATTCTAGTTGCCTCTGCATATTAAACTGGAAATAGGTTGTATTTTGCACCCTCTTAGTTTCTTCTGCTCTCTTATTTCATGGCTTTTTGTTCTCGTGCCTCCCTCCTGCAGTAAAGTTCAAGCACGCATGGCCTTCTCCTCTTACCTGCACCGTGTGCAGCTGCGCCTACTGGCTGAGAGCAGAGCCAACATGGGCCCGGCCTGGACACAGAAGGAGCACGATCAGATGGTAAACCATGTCTGGTTTTATTGAAATATCTACTTCACGTAGTATCTGATGAATATCGGTCTCTAAAAATGATTTTAAAAAAGGTAGTTCACCCCATAAATGCCATCATTTAATGTTGTGGGTCAATTTGACTCGCATTGATTGTTGGGTTTTTGGAAATGCTGGTTACCCTATGATGTTTTTCTTGATATTTTGTGACTCTTTCTCATTTAGAGTCATGAATATGCATGCAAAGGGCCAACAGTTTGATATGTTGTGGAATGTGCATATGAATTTTGTCTCAGTTATGATTTTTATGATTATGACATTTCATGGTTAAATGCAGCTGCTCAGACCCAAAATAAAATAATGCATTTTTTATATCAGTTTCTCAAGTATCCTCCGAGGGTATTTACACTTACATGTATGCATTTTACAGATGCTTTTTTTAAAAGGCATTTTTATCAGTTCATGCTTATTCAATAAACATGCATGAATCCATGATTTTGGGTCTTGGCTACTGGCTACTAAGTTTCAGAAAAAGTGCTTTTTCACACTTCTTTCATTTAAAATGATAAAATCATATAAATCATAATAGCAGCACACAGTTGTATATCAAAGCAAGCTAGCAACATGTAAATGATGGCTTTTCATCTGTAGCAAACATGATTTATTTGATGTTTGTTGTGGTGTTACAGAAACGTTGAATGTCTGTGCACCTTTGATACTGGTCTAATATGTCTATTTTATAGCTACTTTATTAATGTGAGTGCTAAAGACAGTGTGGGATGGGTGCTGTTGACCGTGTGATTCTGCAGGAGCTGGTCATCCGCTTTCTGAAGAGAGCCAGCAGTAACCTGCGTCAGGACATGTGTCTGGAGGAGCCCAGCCGTCAGCTGTGTCTGTCAGACCGCCAGCGCATCCTCTCCCATCAGCTCGGGAACTTCATACAGCTCTATAACCAGGTTTGTGGATCGGCAGGCCGATAATTAATAAAATCAAGTAACAAGTGAAAACTAACAAACAGCAATTCATCAATACAGACTTTGAGTGTGCTGGCTTGAACAAAGCTGAAATAGTTTGAAGGTTCATTTGAAGCTTTTATAGGTCCTGTGCAGTTTGCTCTGGCATTTTGGCAGAGGCTTGATAGTTATATAAGCCTTGAGTAGTTTGAAAACCGTTAGAAATGCCTTGCTGTCTGGTTGCTACGGTGTTTTGGATGGTTGCTAGGGTGCTGCTAAATGATTGCTTAGGTGTTCTAAGTCATCGGTAAGTTAGTCTTAAGTTAGTTAATTATGACAGTGTTTGTAACATTATAAGTGGACCTCATGGATCATTATGATAGAAAATAAATCCAATGCATGACCTATTTAAGGCAACTTTGTGTAATAACCCTCAGGAAACCAAGCAAATGGTGGAGAGTTTGGACAAGATTCCAGATGAGGATCGCTGCATCAACTCCAATGTTTTCCAGGAGTTTATTCTGGAGGCGAGGTCGGTGTGATGCATCTAGAGCACATCGCTCTACTAGGACGAATGTAATAGCCATGTTTTTCAGTGGTCATTTTGCTTGTTCTTCCAGTGAAAATGACTTGGAGGAAGTCCTTACGTTCTACACGCAGAAGAATAAGTCTGCCAGCGTGTTTCTGGGCACGAAGTGTGACAGCAGCAGAGTCGAGAGGAACAGAGAGAGTGAGTGACATGTCCTCATGTTTTATATGCACATGCCATCTCATCAGCCACGCATGAAATATGACACAATACACATCATACAAGTGTGTTTCAATAACTGAAAGGAATAGTTCACCCAAAAATGAAAAGTCTGTTATCATTTACTCTCCTCCATGTCATTCCAAACCCATAAAACGAAACACAAATTAAGATATTTTTATGACTTTTTGGATCTTTTAAGTTTTGGTTACATGGACTTTCATTGGAGGGCCAGAAATCTCTCAGGCTTCATTACAAATATCTTAATTTGTGTTTTGAAGTTTTACCAAAGTCTTATGAGTTTGGAATGATATGAGTGAATTTGGGTAAACTATCCCTATAATTTCAGTATTTTAGAGGTTTTATTTATTATACGTGACCCTGCAGCACAAAAGCAGTGTTAAGTCGCTGGGGTATATTTGTCGCAATAGCCAACAATACATTGTATGGGTCAAAAATCATTAGGATATTAAGTAAAGATCATGTTCCATGAAGATATTTTGTAAATTTCCTACCGTAAATATATCAAAACTTCATTTTTGATTAGTAATATGCATTGCTAAGAACTTCATCTGGACAACTTTAAAGATGATTTTCTCAATATTTAGATTTTTTTGCACCCTCAGATTTCAGATTTTCATATAGTTGTATCTCGACCAAATATTGTCCTATCCTAACAAACCACACATCAATGGAAAGCTTATTTATTCAGCTTTTGGATGATGTATGCATCTTTGAAAAAAATATACTTAAGACTGATTTTGTGCTCCAGGGTCACATATGTAACAAAACAAATATAAAAGTTTTTGCTTTATTAAAGGGTTAGTTTATGGTTCGATGCTGTGAGTGTGAGGTGACAGACTGAGAGTATCATTCATTGATTATCTCATTCTCCATCACACATTCAAGCTTGTGTGTGATCTTTAGGTACTAGGAGTCATTTGAACGTGAACATGATCGCAAATGAGATTTTGCGTACAAACGCTCTGTGTGTGGTTTACTCTCCTCATGTTGTTCCAAACCTGTATTACTCACTTGCTTCTGTGTAACACAAAAGAAGATATTTTGATTTGAAAAATGTTTTTTGTCCATATAGTTAAAGTCACTGGGCTTCAATGCTGTATGGACCCCAAGGTTCTTTAAAATACCTTCTGTTGTGTTCTACAGAAGAATCAAATGCATATGTACTACTGTTACATGGTTCTTTTATGGCGTTTTGGTCTTTTTTGTGCCTTGACAGCCCCTGGTCACTCTGTTTTCTTGAATAAAAAGCAACGTAAACCCTGAAGGAAAGACTTTCATAACAATTTAGAAGAGTCTGTAACTTGTAGACCCTCTTTTGGTGAAATGCATTAGTGCTGTGTAAATTTGCAGGTCATATTTCTCCAAACGTGATTGTTGATACACAGCAGATGAAACACCTTTGCTTAAGCGTGCATCTCCAGATTCCAGCATTCACATTTTACAAACTTGCTGTTTCTTTGTAATTGTTTGTGAAATATTGTGAATTGTGAAATATAAATGAAAGTAAACAGAGCCCTATTGTTATTGTGACCTTAATACCAACATAACATAGTTATCAAGTACTGTAAACATATACTTAATTTGTGAAAGTGTTTTATGATTGCTTAAATGATAATTAATAGTGCAGTGATATGACACAGTTTCTCATAAAATAAGCTAGTAATTGTAAGTGTGCATGTTAAAATGTAATAAGTAGAAGCCAGTGTACAGCCAGTCATGATTGTGAAATATATCCCAACAGGGTGATCAGGATCATTTATTTATTAGTATCACTAATATGTTTTTTTAGATTATGTAAGTTTTGGTTAATGTTGGTGATAGAGTTGAGTCCGCTATGGCAATTTGCAAGATTTGCAAGAAAGATGTTTGTCTTTCAGGATGTAATAATTTCCTGATAATAACAAACTCATGTATTTTCTCTTTCTTGAAGCAGCTGCGTGTATCAACACAGACGCCTCTGATGGTTTAGACAACGCAGATGCAATCAGCAAGATCCAAAACACAGACAGTACTGCAGCTCAAACCGGAAACCAGGGCCAAAGTAAATTAACCCAAAGCACAGAAAACTGTAGTGCAACTAAACATGGTAACAAAACCAAATGCAACTCATTGCAAAATGGACACATCCAAAGGAAAAGCCAAAGTGGAGACTGCACCGCTATTGAAGTGCTACCCAATCCTTCGACTGCCGCAGAGACCGAATCAAGAGCAAGCAAGACTCACACTTCTGCTGTCAGAAACAAGAGAACAAGCAGCGATCAATCGAACGCTGCAGCTCTGGAGTGTGAACACATCGTCTTACAGCACTGCCTCCCGCCGCCTTACGTCCAGCCGCCGCCACATCCACTGGCCAACAGCTCGTCTGTGTGTGTCAAATGGGCCTCCGCACGCAGCGAATCTACTGCATCAACAGCTGCCCAAGAAACATCTCGACCGATCCATCCCACCTGTGTCCTACCCAGAGCCACGCACCTCTCCATCCAGAGATCAGCACGGCCGTCCTCCGCAGGACACAGTAATCTGACCACTTACTTTTACATTTAGTCATTTAGCAGATGCTTTTATCCAAAGCGACTTATAAATGAGGACAATGGAAGCAAACAAAACCAACAAAAGAGCAATGATATGCAAGTGCTAGTCTCAGTTAGCTTAACGCAGTACATGTAGCAAGGGTTTTTAAATCATATAATAAATAAAAAGAAAACGAAAAAAAAATAATTAAAATAAAAAGATAGAATAGGAAAAGAATAGAGCAAGCTAGTGTTAGAGGCCTTTTTTGCTTTTGTTAATTGTATAATAGATAAAAAAGAAAACAAATAGATAGAATACAAAAAGATTAGAGAAGCAAGTGTTAGTTTTTTTTTAAAGAAAACAAGCAATTAGTGAATAAATAGTGCAGGTCTAAAAGGGGTGTTTTTTTTAAAGAATAGAATTAGAATAGAAAGTCAAATAAATATAGAACAGGTGTATTTTTAGTCGTTTCTTGAAGATGGTTAAGGACTCAGCTGCTGGGATTGAGTTGGACAGGTCATTCCACCAGGAGGGAACAGTTAATGTAAAAGTCTGTGAAAGTGATTTTGTGCCTCTTTGGGATGAACAATAATGCGCCGTTCACTTGCAGAATGCAAGCTTCTAGAGGCACATAAGTCTGAAGTAATTAATTTAGGTAAATGGATGCAGAGCCAGCGGTGGTTTTGTAGGCAAACATTAATTAAAACTTTTAAACTTGAATTTAATGCGAGCAGATATTGGTAGCCAGTGCAAACTGATGAACAGAGGTGTGACGTGCGTTCTTTTCGGCTCATTAAAGATTAATCTTGCTGCCGCATTCTGGATTAATTGTAAAGTAATTAATCTTTAATTAATTAGTCCACTTGAAACTGATAACCTTCCCCTTCACCCAATGTGTGCCTGTGGATTAAGTTTCTCATACTTTATTTCCAGTTTATCTCTGTTCTGTCCCACAGTGAGTCAGAAGCCCAGTCTGAGTAAGTCCAGACCTGGTTCTGCTGGTTTGCTGAAAGAGACTGACTCGCTGTCGGCCCAGGCTCAGTCCAACCAGCTGGCCATCGTATCTGCTCTGCGCAAACTAGTGGAGAAACAGGCGGCTCGTCAGTACAGCACATCCAGTCACATCAGCCTCCTCACGCAGCATGTGAGTCATGATTTACACATCAGATACATGTTCAGCTTTTCAAATATTACAGCCTGAACACTCTTCATTTGGAGTGTCTGAGCTGTACATTTAACCATTCATTTGGGGGTCAGTAAGATCTTTTAAGAAAGGAAATGTATATTTTTAATTAGTAAGAACAAATTCAAATCAGTACAAAAGATTTCTATTTCAAATAAACGCTGTTCTTTTGAACGTTCTATTCATCTGTGAATCCTGAAAAATAAAATGTATCACGGTTTCCACAAAAATATCGTGCAGCACAACTGTGTTCAACATGGATAATAATCAGAAATGTTTCTTGAGCAGCAAATCAGCATATTATACTGATTTCTGAAGATCATGTGACACTGAAGACTGGAGGAATGATGCTGAAAATACAGCTGCGCATCACAGAAATACATTACAGTTTAACAGAGATTCACAGAGAAAACAGCTGTTTTAAACTGTAATAATATTTCACAGTATTAGTGTTTTTACTGTATTTTTGTTCAAATAGATGCAGCCTTGGTAAGCAAAAGAGACTTCGTTCAAAAATATTTTAAAAATCTTTATGAACACAGGATCAAGGAATCGTCTTTAGAGATTTATTTGGGTAACTGGCATTTAGCGAGTTTTTGGTTTATTTTTATATTTCATGAATAATTGCATTTGACTTGAGAAAGTTCAACAGTGAGTACAGACCATAGCTTTTTTTTATAAGCCATGAACCAAACCAAACCAGATGAAACACAACATTACAAAGTTTGATTTGAAGACAAAAAGACAACGGTTACAAAATGGCTTAACGGCTTTAGTCCTGTCAGTCATGTGATGGAGAAATATAAAACTATTCATTTAAAGATATTATACACATAGAAAAAAAAAACCGTTAAATGCAAAATACACAAATATTTAAGTAGTTTGAGAGTGAGTTTGTTCACATCATTGGGCTTCAAAGAGGCTGTTGCACGATATCATTGTCATAGATTTGCCATAGCTGTTTACTGTAGTGGCAGATAGGTTGACTGAAGAGCTTTCAGTAGCGTCACATGTATTTTCAGTAGCTGGATATCCAACGCTATCTCATACGTTTCTCATGCATCCGCCGGAGCACACAGCATGATGCTGGAGTGTGTCTGATGCGTTAGGGAGGATCCGGAGTCTGTCAGGAGCGGGATACGCTCTGTGTGTGGTCTCATTATCAGACGCTCCACAGGAGGTTGAGATTTAACAAGCAGCCCGTTTTCCCTCCAAGTAATTGATTCTTATAAATAAAAGAATGTTACGAATTGGCACCAAGTTCATGCCCCCCTTTCTTTGCTGAATACCTGAAGTGTTTGAGATGAGACCGGACCACACAGATTCCCTGACGCTCATGTTACTGAACGCTGTAACTCTAGAAGGTGTTTACTTTAGTTTACTGTGAGTTCACTCGTGTCACGACTTTCCCTCTCGGCCTACAGCTGAATCGCTTGAACAAATACACCAGTGGACTGAAATTGTGTTTTGGCTAAATCAAATGTCTGGAACTACATGATGCTTCATAAAAATAGATTACAGTATGCATTCAAAGTGTAGATGGTAACCACCTCCTTTCTGTGTGAAAGACAGTCCCATTCACTGACTGTGGTTTTATTGTTTGCATTATAGTTTTAAAGGCAGTGGAACGTTCTGTTAATTGGCAATAACATTTCCTGATTTAGATGTAGTTTTGTGGGAATAGTTTAATGAACCGCCAGAAGTGGTTGGCATTTTCAGCCTTGTATTCTTTGCTTCAGAAATCTGGCTTCACCAGCAGGCATTTTAAACACCTCATTCAAGTAATTACTCCTTAAATGAGTGAAAATCTAGCAAGTGTAGCCTCTTTTTTTTTTTTTTTTTTTTTAAAATCAGCATATTATACTGATTTCTGAAGATCATGTGACACTGAAGACTGGAGGAATGATGCTGAAAATACAGCTGCGCATCACAGAAATACATTACAGTTTAACAGAGATTCACATAGAAAACAGCTGTTTTAAACTGTAATAATATTTCACAGTATTAGTGTTTTTACTGTATTTTTGTTCAAATAGATGCAGCCTTGGTAAGCAAAAGAGACTTCGTTCAAAAATATTTTAAAAATCTTTATGAACACAGGATCAAGGAATCGTCTTTAGAGATTTATTTGGGTAACTGGCATTTAGCGAGTTTTTGGTTTATTTTTATATTTCATGAATAATTGCATTTGACTTGAGAAAGTTCAACAGTGAGTACAGACCATAGCTTTTTTTTATAAGCCATGAACCAAACCAAACCAGATGAAACACAACATTACAAAGTTTGATTTGAAGACAAAAAGACAACGGTTACAAAATGGCTTAACGGCTTTAGTCCTGTCAGTCATGTGATGGAGAAATATAAAACTATTCATTTAAAGATATTATACACATAGAAAAAAAAAACCGTTAAATGCAAAATACACAAATATTTAAGTAGTTTGAGAGTGAGTTTGTTCACATCATTGGGCTCCAAAGAGGCTGTTGCACGATATCATTGTCATAGATTTGCCATAGCTGTTTACTGTAGTGGCAGATAGGTTGACTGAAGAGCTTTCAGTAGCGTCACATGTATTTTCAGTAGCTGGATATCCAACGCTATCTCATACGTTTCTCATGCATCCGCCGGAGCACACAGCATGATGCTGGAGTGTGTCTGATGCGTTAGGGAGGATCCGGAGTCTGTCAGGAGCGGGATACGCTCTGTGTGTGGTCTCATTATCAGACGCTCCACAGGAGGTTGAGATTTAACAAGCAGCCCGTTTTCCCTCCAAGTAATTGATTCTTATAAATAAAAGAATTTTAGGAATTGGCACCAAGTTCATGCCCCCCTTTCTTTGCTGAATACCTGAAGCGTTTGAGATGAGACCGGACCACACAGATTCCCTGACGCTCATGTTACTGAACGCTGTAACTCTAGAAGGTGTTTACTTTAGTTTACTGTGAGTTCACTCGTGTCACGACTTTCCCTCTCGGCCTACAGCTGAATCGCTTGAACAAATACACCAGTGGACTGAAATTGTGTTTTGGCTAAATCAAATGTCTGGAACTACATGATGCTTCATAAAAATAGATTACAGTATGCATTCAAAGTGTAGATGGTAACCACCTCCTTTCTGTGTGAAAGACAGTCCCATTCACTGACTGTGGTTTTATTGTTTGCATTATAGTTTTAAAGGCAGTGGAACGTTCTGTTAATTGGCAATAACATTTCCTGATTTAGATGTAGTTTTGTGGGAATAGTTTAATGAACCGCCAGAAGTGGTTGGCATTTTCAGCCTTGCATTCTTTGCTTCAGAAATCTGGCTTCACCAGCAGGCATTTTAAACACCTCATTCAAGTAATTACTCCTTAAATGAGTGAAAATCTAGCAAGTGTAGCCTCTTTTTTTTTTTTTTTTTTTTAAAGAGCAAGTTGAAAAATGCATTGCTCTCACTTTATAATGAATACTTTCAATGCGGGGTATGAAAAAGGCAAGACAATTGACAGTAGTGATAATTATAGAAGGAAATGCATTAAATTATAGAGGCAATATATAGCCTGAGTCGCCCACATGTAGGCTTTCTTAAAGAACTTTTCAGCCTCAGCACGGGTCATTAGCACAAACCCTCATCATAACCCAACATAACATTTGTGTTCACCTCGCACCATTTAGCTCCAAATATAGATGCAGTTCAACACTGCAATATTCACATTGGTTCAAGCTCTTTCAGCCCTTTCTGCTGCTGTTCCTTCTGTCTAGGAGAGTGAGGGAATCAAATAATTCATTCACCATCCACACTAATCATTATTAATGAAATAACGTCACAGTTTTAGTGGAATATCGTTTAAATTAGAATTCCTTTAGCCAATTTTAGACCACTTGAGGTAAGGAGACGCCAAAATAGGCCTTGAAAATAGCTGCACAGTTTGGGGGAAAATCTAATTGCAGTTTTTCTGATACAATTGTGTTTTAAAAATGCATGTATTTTTTGGGGGTCAAAATGTTTTGATTGTAAATCAATATGATAATATCAATGTGATAAATATTTTTATAATATTATTATGAATATCGTTGTGACTAAATTAAAATATTAAACAAAATAAGAAATATTATTATTGCAAGAAGTGTTACAGTATTTATGAAAAATAATATAATAATTATGTAATAAAAACAATCAAGCTTTTGTGTTTTCAGAAAAACTGCACAGGGTCCTGAAAGCTTTTCTTTTCTTAATAAGCGCTTCTCACTAAAAGTTTGTGAAGATGGTTGGTGCATGTTTCATTCCCAAATGCACACTAAAGCAACTCAAACTCAGAGCAGATGTTCTTGGAGCTCAAGTGGTTTATTTATTGTGAATTGAGTCACTCTGAGATGCTAAAAAACACTGGCGGATCATGAGCTGCTCACGTGTAAGTGAACACAGTGCTGCGCTTCGCTTTGTGCATAGATTTGTTATTTGATAATCACACTAATGTCGCGATTTCAGTTTTACTTCAATGAATTGTGCAACCCTACTTTAAATGCTTACAAAAACAACAAAGATTAATTATATTAATATTAATGATAACATATTAATATATATTAATGATAGAAAAATACATCAGTTGAACAAAATAAACAAAACAAACAATGTAACAAACACAATATACATAAACACAACAGGACTACATGAGTCACAGGCCAGAGAGACAGAATGAGTACAAGTGGAAAAATATAATGTTGAAACACCAGCATCCACACTGATAAGTGTAAGTATAAAGTCTGAGTCCAAACATAGAAACTGTAATCATCCTCTCTCTAAAGGAACATGGTGTTATTTCTCTTTACTGGAATGTATGCGATACAAAAACATATTGCAACACCATTTGAACTCTATTCATGAGAATGCCAGGTGGAAAATTAAGCATTGGGCTACAGTAAGAATTCCCAAAAACCACAAGCTCAGTAGTTTTTCTGCACTGCAGACACAGAGGGATAAATTAAATCTTCATCCGGATCTTCACTACTGTAAGAAACATCTGAGAGCTCAAGAAACATGTTCAGATAATGTGGCGTTTAGCATTGAGGGATTCATATCTGCTGACAGGAGGTCAGGGCCCGGTTGCATGAAAGCCCTTAAGCTAAGAAATCCCTTAGTTATAAGGTTAAGGGGAGCCCTTAGTGAAACTTGGGTTGCAAGAAAAAAACCCTAAGGGTCAACTTAAGGAACCTTAAGGCTGCCATTAAGTATTCCCCTTAATTATTTAAGTGTTCCCTTAAGTGTTGCTACAAAGTCCTTAGTAACCATTTCACCTTAATACATTTAAGGGACCAAAAGAGCTCCCTTAAGTCATCTTAAACTCAGTATCTGCAGGATTTTAAAACTCAAATGTAAGACTTAAGACATTTTTTAAGACCTGCACAAATAAAATATCACATGAGCGCAGTAGGGCAATGACTACGGTAACATATTAAACTGTAAAATGACTGTAAAAAGCATGACTTACAGGTTTTCACAAAACAAAAAGTTTTATATACATTTTTAAGTAAATGGACGAGTTGTATCAATTATGATATCAATTTAAACAATTATTATTAATCAATCATTACATTAATGAAATAACAATATAAAGATAATTTGTCTTAATTGTTTAGATTTTTATAATGCATTATCTTGTCGGTCCACCTGTTCACATTTACAACTCTGTGTGTTTGCAGCGTCAAAACACTGGTTCATTTTCACATTTGGGAAATTTTCCGTCGTTGGTCAGCAGAAGGCGCTTTCACTGCAGAAAAAAAAGCAGTTTCCTCAGTAACAGCAGCGCAGAAACGGGCAGCGCTCATGTTTATTTAATGTTTGTCTGTGTTTTAGTTGGTTAGGTTTGTATTTCATTATGTTCTATTTATTGTCATAGATATGTATACATATCTGTTTATTGTGAGATGTAGTAACTATAGTAACCGCGGCACCCATTGCCGTATGTTGCCAGAAACTACCGTGAAACGCTTAGTATAAACACTTAGGTAAGGGTGACAGTTAAGACATTTGTTGCAACGCTGCTAAAGGAATCCCTTACCTCGGGGATTTTTTCCCCCTCAGGGATATCCCTAAGTCAAATTACTTAAGGACTTTCATGCAACCGGGCCCAGATCATAAGCTAAAATCTGCCATGTTTCAAAGTGAACTTCTTCAGTGAGCTTGCATTAGTTTAAACACCTGCCTCTGAGGAATGCTTGATATTTCCCGTTCACCCGGCCTGACCAGAGTACGGCACACCATCCACCTGCCACTCAAACAAACACTTGAGCACAGAAATAAATGCCTTTCATGTGCAGGTCAAGCTTTTTCTAGGGCAGTCGGGTTTTAGGTCAGTCTGGATCTGCACTTAATTTTGCTAGTGTCATGGCAACAGTGATTTTAATAGACAACAATATGACAACTACATAAAGTCTGGTCCACTTTGCAGCCTTTCTGCTCAAGAACGATCCATGGGAAGACATGTAAAGTGACATATGCAAAAATTAATATAGATCTACATGTAAAATGAATTGTAGTCCATTCATTTGCCTAACATAATAACAATATCTAGCCAGTTAATTTCTGGCCAGTTCAGAGCTGATCATGACCAGAAAAAAAGTGTGCATTTTGTTTTATTTTATTTTAAATTACTGGTAATTTAAAATGTATAACAAAATCATTTTTTACTTTAGATAGCAAAATGAACTGAATTATGTAGACTTAAATGTAAAATTTATTTTAGCCCATTTGTATGCGTTAAAAAATTTAACAATTTCTAGCCAAACATATAATTTAGAGCTAAGCGTGACCAGAATTTGACCACAATTATTATGTTTTTCAGGCCTGAAAAATTACAAATGTACAATTTTTTACATCTCTAAAATGAATGAAAGAAAGAAAGAGAGGGAGAAAGAAAGAAAGAAAAAGAAAGAACAGCACTTTTTAACTTTAGATAGTAAATTGAACTGAATTATAGAGACATACATGTCATATTACTCATATGCCTAAAAAAATAATAATTTCTAATCTGTTATATATGTTAGAGCATGACCTGAAAAAAGTATATTAATGGAAGATTTTTTATTATTATTATTATTATTATTGTGTTTTCCAGGTCTGGAAATTACAAATGTACAATATTCATGTTTTTCCATTTCCATGGGAAGTACATCTACCAAAATTGTGCAGCACTTTTAAGCACAACAAACATATACAATATACAGACCTACTTCCATTCATATGCCTAAATATTTAACAAAGACAATCCCAAAACATTCATGCAGCTCAATCTTATATTGGCCACTGTTGACCCACATTGGCATGTTCTGACTAGGGTTGTCACGGTGAGGAAATTTTCCCACCGGTTGATCGGGTGTTAGTTCGTTTGAGTTTCCCTCTTTTCTCAGCTTTCAAATGGCTTGTAAAAGTGCCGTGCACATTTTACTTTCACTTTCAAATTAGCGGCAATTGAATTGCCGCAATTCGGTGTCAAGCAATTGTTCGTTTGAGTTTTCCCTCTTTTCCTCTGATTTCTTGGCTTTCAAATAGCTTTAAAAAGCGCCGTGCGCGTTTTACTTTCACTTTCAAATTAGGGGCAATTCGGCATTGATTCAGTTCAAGCAACAACAACGTCAAACTCAGAACTTTTATTAACAAAACGAATAAAAATACACCATATAGGCCTATGCCTAATAAAATAACAAATTACTTAGGTTACACAAAGTTTAAATAGGTATATAAAACTGAAAATCAGCAAACACTGTGGAACCAAATAAATAAGAAACATAGAACGTTTATTAGCTAAACGAATAAGAAAGCTTGGAGGCACGGCATATACACCTTGATGTAAAATAAATACACAAAGTTTAAATTAAGTAATTAGCAAACACTGTGGAACCAATTAAATAAGAAACGAATGTTTAAATAAGCTTCCAGTCAATAGGCTTTTCAAAATCTAAAATATTGCCAAACAGGCGCCTTTGCATTTCCTTTCTAAACAATCGTCTGCCATCGTCTTGTCTTTCTCTCCTCGCTCTCGTCCGTCAGCTCGACTCACTCTCCTCACGTGATAAATCAAATCTGACTCCTGTCGTTCACGCACGGTTCGGCACGCTGCATTGAGCGTTTAGTTTTTAAAAGTGTCTGTCCTCTAACTGAACTAGGCTAAATTATTTTTGTTACTATAAAAAAATCTAAACGACGGTGGGGGGCGGTGCCGCGGTAGACAAATGATGTAACCGGTGTTGCGGCTTAACCATAAACACCGTCTATCGCAGCAAGCCTAGTTCTGACTACATCTGACCCTCAGAAGAGCCCTGGAGCCAATCAGTTGCACTCTGGAACTACTGATAATGGCCAGATCCCTGGACTTATAATCATAAAATTAACAAATTACTGTGTAATAGTAATATATTGAATAAATATGTATTTATTTATTAGATTGATTATTCAACAAGGTTACAGTAATATTTGATCAGAACATTTCTGTTCATTCATAAGAGGTGCAGATTGTTTCACAGATGCAACTGAATATGCAGATGTGCTCATGGATATCTACAGTGTTGGGTGTAACGCATTACAAGTAACTCGAGTTATGTAATCAGATTAGTTTTTTCAAGTAACTAGAATAATAGCACATTACTTTTAATTTACGAGAACATATCTGAGCTAGCTTTTGAAATAAGTTAAGCCAATTACTTTGTTTTCCCATTTATTGACTGACATCTCTCCTATCCGCATGTTGAGAGAAATCAGGAATAAGAGCAGAGGTGTTGTGTATCAACATGTATTTAATCATCTCACTTGCACAAATACAAAATCAGTATTCCTCAAAATGAATAAAAACAGTGAAATGCCAACTCCGAATATGACGCAAACCTGCAATAATTAAATATGTCAAATAATGCAAATAGCCTTTATATATTAAATCCCACGTTTTGTTAACAAGTGCCTTTGCTTCTGTGACCTTCAGTCATCCAGTTTGTGCTGAAGAGTGTTGAACTTTCTTCTCCTGAGTCCTATTCTTCATGCAATCCAGAATGATTTTAGCTACGATCTCTATTATAGACGTGAATTTACATTTCCATCCGCCTGAGGCTTATTCATTTCTCTTTTGGTGTGAAAGGACTTTTTACATTTGCCAAAAATAGATCTATTTTATATTAAATACAAAATACCAAGCCCAGCCTAGATTAAAAAAGTAACACAAAAGTAACAAAACGCATTACTTTCCTTAAAAACGAACATAATTAGATACTTTTTTAGAAAGTAACACATATTGTAATGCATTACCTTTAAAAGTAACTTTCCCCAACACTGGATATCTAGTGTTTTAGACAAACATTTGAAATATAGGAATATCTGTACATGACCTGTTTTTCTTTTTTTGTGTGTTGAATATCATTTTGTATGAGTAGATGATTGTTCTCTCCCCACAGCTGACGAATCTGAATCTGGCCAATGGGCTCTTCAGCAGAGGAGGTCTCACGTTGAGTCCCGGGGTCCGGCACGGGCCTGTGAGAGCGGTGCATACAAACACGACCGCTGGGAACTCTGGGTAAGTGTTCGTGCACTCACACCCACAGACACTGTGATCAGTCTGGACTTTTGGGCCCGTTTCTGTTGTGTTGCTCACCTCTCAGTGAATTCAGGTATGATGATTTGTTTCAGAGCAGCCTTGTCTCATAATAGTGTCATTATTCAGCTCAGCTCAGTTCAGTGTTGTTTTAATTTAGTTGAGTAACAGTGTCAATGTTGCAAAGTTTTACAAATAATTAAAACTGAGTTCAATTCAGCAAAAACCAGCTCTACAGAAGGCAGTAGTGTTATTAATACTATAATATGTTATGAAAGGTAAGTTACATATGATTCGAACCACTACACTTCCAGAAACCAGCACTCTGTCTTTCATGTGTCTTCACTTCATTCATGCATCAGATAATCCTACTGCTGTCTGTTACTGCAGAGTTTCATCCAGTGTTCTTGATACAATTATCTTTTGAGACTGCTTATTTGTCATCTGTGTTATTGATTTATTATTGACACACTAGGTATTAGATTCTGATAATGTACCAAGGCCAAAATTGTGGTATCAAGCCGACCCTACAATGGTGTGGTTGAAGGTTTGCTGCACAATCTGTTTTTTTTGTTTTTGTTTTTGTTTGTTTTGTTTTTTCAGTGTGCAAAGTAATTTTAATTTCAATTAAACTCTTATCTGACTACATTTTTATAACAACCTTAATTTTAGGTTCTGATGCCAATTGATTATTGGTCAATTTCTAATAATTTGTTTTAATAATTTATTTCTATGCTTGATTATTATCTTTAATCTTATATTTCAAATTGTGCTCGTTATTCAGATTTCAAGGTCTTAGAGGCTTTATGACTAATACTATGTAGTATTAGTTTAGTATTTAGTATTATTCCAAGCTTGAAATCATTTGAATAGTAGTTCTGTTAAAACAAGCCATCTAATGGAGACTTGAGCTAACAAATTGGAATTGCATTAATTGAGATCCTAGACCTGTTGCTTGCCTTATTCTGTGTAAGAAGCCACATCTTCTCACAGAAGGATTTATTTCAAACACTCGACTGAAGTTATGAAGTGAGTTTAAAGTAAAAACATGTTATTAAATGTGGTATTTTCACGTGATTTAAGAAGGAGCAGCGTTTACTACACAGAGCCATAGTTCACTGAGAAGCTACGCAAACAACTTTATTATCGCAGCCTGATTTCATAATATCGTTGTATGATATCGATGATATCGATTTTTTTGCGTAGCTTGTCAGTGAACTATGGCTCTGTGTAGTAAATGCTGCTCCATCTGAAAGCACGCGATAGAGATTTACTGCTGATTACAGAACCGGCTTTACTGTCGAGATGCGCATGACTATCGCATGCAGTTTATCGCGCAGCCCTAATATACATTTTGAGAGAGAAGACATTTTGGCACCAGCTTTACAGAACTTAATGTGCTCTTTATGCCATTTATATCCTTAAGTCACACTGATTAGTTGTGAAAAATTAATGAGAAATTGAAAAATTGGTGAGGGACTGAATCAAAGAATGTGCATTTTATTGATTTGTGTTATTAAACAAAGAAAAAACAGTCAAGTGATCAAAACAAAAGATAAACGGCTTCAGTGTAAAGTGGACTGATAAAACCTTCCACAAAACTTCCATCCACAACAGTAGGTGTCAGTATAACGTCCAAGACCCCTGGGATGAAAAAGAGTCAACTGAACATAAGCAAATTCATAGAGTGAATCTTTAGTGCTTCATATGCTTATACAATATCGACAGTGTAAGACAAAAATGGTGTAGTTAGAAAAGGCCAACATGTTCCTCCGGTATTCAGTCAATAGTCACTCTGTTTTTCTTTTTTTCTCCCAAAGATGCAGAAGACCCTCAGTTTAAAGTGCTCTGATAAAGGGTGAAATAGCATTCTGTGAAGTTTTCGTTGTGTGATCATCTTTATAGGTTTTTATAAGTGCTTGGTTGATGTTGGCCAAATCGGTCACGGGCGATAAAACTTACAAGCCAGTAACGGCCTCTGAAGAATCTTTTAAGAGAGCAGAGAGTCTAAAATTTGTTGTAAAAGTCATTTTTATAGAAGCATTCCAAACTATCTCTGTGATCTATAGTGTGCGTTCTAGAGCGGCGTTGCTGAAATCCGTCCGCTGTTTTACTTGCCCTCTGTGTGAGAGCACATACGTGTTAAGCTTGGCAGAGAGTTTGATCCTGCGGTAGACCAAGTCATGGGGGTAAAAACAGATTCCCCTCCTGCATCGTCACTAGTGGTCGACCGATATTGTTTTTTTTGACAGCCGATGCCTATATCTTGGAAAGTAGACATTAATGAGGAAAAAAAATTTACTTAAATGATTTTAGCAAATGGCTGCAATATAACAAAGATTGAAAATTTTAAGGGGGTCTGAATACTTTCCGTACCCACTGTAAAGCCGATATTGTTGTATTTATTTTAATATTTAAGAAATTTGAAATCATTTGGAAATGGATAAAAAAATGTATTTGTAAAATAAGCATACTTATACTTTAGATGACAAAGTATTTTTCTCAAATAAACAAATATTTAATAAAAATATAATTAAAAAGGAAGTAAACTGTAACAACAGAGCACTCAGTATTCTGGGAAATTTGTGTGCATTGGGAATCATATTTTTTCAAATAAAGCCAAGGTAACACTTATTTTACATGCAGTACACAGTGAAAATGACATGAATATGACAGTGGGCAAATGCATAAAGCGCAGCATAATTTGAAATCAAGAATTTAATGTTTAAAGCATTCAATTCACACGGACCGATCGTCACAGAGAACACGCGATCATGCAGGTCACATGCACACGTCACAAGATCTCACAGCTGGATTCGACTAACTTTGCAAGGTTTGTGAAATAAAATTTTCATTAACCATTCAAAGATTTGTTTAAATGCTATAAATGCGTATTTGCTGAATGCTGATGGCAAACGAGAAAGTATTAAAATGTTTGCCTTTCTATTACTAATAATATAAAAGCAATCGTTATAATACTTTTTGTATACATTTTAATTCCTTTGTTTAACAGTTCTATCGGATTATTAGACAGACTTCTATCCATATTAGACAGAACTGTTAACGACGACGGCGAACAGGGAGAATGTGAGCACTGTGTTTTCAGGCGCTGCCATTCTCAGCAGCATAAAAATAAAATAATACCACCTCGAACGCATCGGCCAAACAGAAAAATGTATCGGCCGATGCCGATATTTGAAAAATGCCAAATATCGGCCGATATATCGGCCTTGGCGATATATCGGTCGACCACTAGTCGTCACCCTCCGTGGCCCAAATGCAAGTGTTATAATATACGAGTTTCTGAGCTCTGCTCTCACAGCAGGACGAACGTCATGACACTGACATTTCTCCAGACCTCGCAGCGGAAGGGTTAAGTACACGCCGCTTTTCCTGTATTTTTACAGTGATATGCGAGTGACAATGTCTCAGACACTTTGGCCCTGATCTCCCCCACTGTTTTTCCAGTCCAACCCTTCCTTATGTATGGAACTGTCAGGGAATTCCTGGAATGTCTGGCTTTTTCCCTTTTTTAAAATGTTATTATTTCCACAAAAGAAAGCGCAGCCGTTATATAGAATCTGTAAGACCCACCGACGTGTGGTTTTATGGTGATATCTAAAGCAGACGGTCACTTTTACCAGCGTTCTCCTTCTGATGGCTGCGTTTGTTTTATCACTGCTCTGCTTCAGTATGTCGGGGCTCATATTTAAGAGCGGAGCTCATCTCTAATATTAGGACTTTTTCCATTACATTGACTGTAAAGCGGTGGAGGGTGGAAAAGACGTTAGACAAGGATTCATCTATCCCGCTGCAGTGCTTTCCACTGAGATTAATTGCCAATTAATCATAATAGTGTTGGGGAAGAATGGTTAGAAAATGCTGTTTTTTCCCCAGAAGATTCTGCCCGACTGCCTTTTGTTTGCTGTGGTAGATTTAATTCCTGGTCAAAACGTGGCATCTCATTTGTTAGGCATCTGGCTGGAACTTTCCGCCGGCTACCGTGTGCTAAACTACACTAAAACCGAAGTGAATTCCTCTGCCATTATCCTTCACCTCATACTTGGCCTGCACATTGTGGAGAATCTCAAACGAATGGTTGTTTAATAGTGCACCGTAATATCTCTTGATATACTGCTCAGCCCTTTCTTGCTGTCTTTAATGTTTGGGGGCTTTTTTGAGCACCTCCTCCACATCCAAGATTTTGGGGCCAGTGGTCTGTGCCAAACATGCTGAAGCCGTTAAATGCGCTGTTGTCGAAGCCAAGGGGGTTAGGCGAAATGGCTTTCAAAGAGAAGCAGGGACCTTTGAAGTTGCGCTAGCCAGGAACTGCCAGGTATGCTGGATCAGCACTTCCAAGCCATTGTCCTCCTCCACCAGCTTTTCCCTCACTGCATGGCAGCGTTTAGTCTGATGCTAATGAAGAATGGCCATTTGCTAACCGAATCCTGCAGCTGAGCGCTTGAGCGTTGGGTTGTTATTTTTCACATTAGGTATGTGGCAGCGTTGACGTAAGCCTGAAATATTTGGGTGATTTTAGTTCCACTTGGACGACTGTCTCAGCTGCCTCTTTTCTTGGCGTCGGTCGAGATTCTTTTCCAGTAAGTTATTGGTACCACTTGCAGATGATGATGATGATAATAATAGACGTGGGTTTAGAGTGATAATGGAATGTCACAATTATTGAGTATTTAGGTTTTGGATTGTGTCATAGGCTGGAAGAATGTGGCGTCCCACTGAGCGGATAGTGCTGAATCGACTCTCAGCTCCTCATCCCGACCGTAATTTCAGGATTACTCCTGCTGATGGCTTTTACACTTTTACACACAGTCCTACTGTATGTATTGACAGCTGCTGAAGTTTATGAGGATCAGAATCACTCGATTGAGTGTCAGGAGGTGACGGGTTCATGCACTGACTTTAGTGATGATACAGTGGTTTTGCAAAGATGCTTTTTTGAAATTAATACTTTTATTTTAAAG